GAAAAATTATTTGGTAAGAAGAAAAATTTGGCAATATTAAATTCTTAGAAATTGCAAGAGCAAGGTCTGTTCTGTCTCCACTTTATTTGAACCATAGTAGTTTTAGTTTTATTTGCTTTCAGTACATTTCTTTAAAGAAAGGGTTCTTGTTCCAGATAAGAGTAAGAATAAAATGCATGTATCAAATTTGCTTCCTACTCAATTAAAATTACAGTAGAGTGTTTTTTTTTTAATGTATAAAATGCCAAGTATAAGGCAAACAAGAGAGGTGAAAACTTCAACAAAATTTCTGTTAGGAGAAATTATATGAACAAATGATAGTTAATTAACCAGACTGGAAAAAAATAGAATCCCTACTGGACAGTGTGAAAAGCTGAGAACTAACCAGATTATTTATATCACAAAGTCCTCGAAGGGACAGGAACCAGCTGAGCCATATACATTCATAATTAGCAGTGCAGGATGGAAAATACTAGGAGCACTTATTAAACAAAGTTTGAAAACAGTTGCTCCCTATGTTCTCCTTCCTCTTCTTTACACCTGGGAGCCTGTTCTGCACCAACTCAGCCAAATGATAGGAAAGAATTCTCAAAAAAAGAAACAAAACAAAACAAAAACTCCAGACTAGAGGATGTCAGGTCCAATGAAAGACTAAGTACTAAACTTAAAACAGGGTAATTAAGTGACCTTAGTTATTCTGAATGCAGATTGCATTGATCTCAAGATCTCTTAACCTATGATTACCACAACATTGGCAGTCAGGGCCTTAATCTACAGGCGAGAAATTTAAAAGTATATATCAAGAGAATATAAAAGGCCCAAGACGAAAAAATCCAAAGATGAGGATATTTTGAAGGAATTCATCAACAAATAGCCCATCTAGATAAATCTATAATAAACCTCATATTAGATAGTCTCCCCCTACTCTGCTGTGTACATACAGATTTCAAATCAGATTTTCATCCCCCTTTTTTATTCATTAACAGGATGCTAATAATTAATGAACATATAAAGAAAATCTCTAATATGAAAGATAAAAATATAAACCAGCAAACAAAAAATTGCAATTGGGAGGAAATTGAGGTCGTTTAAGAAAGAAAGGAAAGTTATAAGATTATTATTAACTAGAGGCCCGGTGCATGAAAATACATGCACTGGAGGAGGAGCCCCTCAGCCTGGCCTGTGCCCTCTCACAGTCCAGGAGTCCTCAGGGGCAGGAGGTGACCTGGCAATCAGGGGAAGGTGACGCCCCATCACACCTCTGCTGCTGCCACTGCTGGCAGCGCAAGCCTTGGCTGGCCCTCGTTACCTGTGCCTGGGCCAGCCCTGGTCAGCTTGGGGGGCTGAAGGGACTGGGGGACTCCGGAGGCTGGTACATGGCCTTGCTGCAAGCCTACCACTCCAGCGGGGTGGAGAGGACTGGGCGCCACCATCTTGTGGCTGTGGGTGCTGCCATCTTTGAGGGTGTGGAAGTCAATTAGCATATTCCCTCCTTATTGGCTATGGGTGCCACCATCTTTGAGGGTGGGCATTCAATTAGCATTTTCCCTCCTTATTGGCTGTGGGTGCCTCCAACTTTGCAATGGTGTGAGGGTCAATTAGCATATTCCCTCTTTATTAGATAGGATGACTTCAGGAATGTAAGAGAAGATATTGTAGCTATAAAACTAGATCTCATAGAAATGTAAACAATCAGTAGAAATGGAAAATTCAGTATAATATCTGAAAGATAAAAATTACATAAACGAGAAATAGGGAAACAAAGGTTAATAAATTTAGATTCAACAGTTCAGAACTTCCAATGTTAAGAGTAGCTTTTAGAATACATAGAGAAAAGAAAATCATCAAAGAAGTAGTTTAGAAAATTTACTCCAAATTGAAGGACAACATTAGCCAAATTTAAAAACTCAGCAAGTACCCAGCACAATGGATGAAAGTAGATCAATGCTTATCATTGGATTGTTTCAGGATGCTGGGGGAAAAAATAGATCAAACAAATCTAAGAAAAAGAAAAAAAAAAAAAACACAAAAAAAACTTTCATGAAAAAAGAATCAGGGATCTGAATTACTTTAGGTTTATCCACAGAAGGTTGGAAATATGAGAGCAAATCTTTAAAATTATCTAAGAAAATGATTTTCAACCTAGCATTCTATACCCAGAAAAACTAATATTTTATGACAGCAGAATAAAAGTGTTGTTAAACTGAAGAAATACATATAAATCATTAGTGTTTAGTACATAAATTCATTCAATTATAAAAACTTATTTTTAAAATATGATGTTCAAAATATTTGAGATATTATAACTAATAAACTATACTTATGAATTTTTTATATTTGCAAAATAGAATATATCCCTTTAGTAATTAGTAATTTAGTAATATATTCCCATACTGGTCACAGTAATTTAGTTGTAAATATGTGAATATCTCTCCTAGATATTCTCATAGCTGTTAGGGTTACTTAGCTGGTTAGGGTTTTCTAGTTTGGGTATATGTGAATATATCTCTCTAGTGTTCCATTCTAATTAGAGTTATTTGTGGGATATGATTACCCACTGATTACCTGGAGTCATCAGGTTATATGGTTGACTAGAACAATTGTTCTCTCCTTTCTTTCTTATAATTTGAGTGTTAGACTACAGAATAATGTTTACTCTAATATACTATCTTCCTAGAGAGAGGAGACTTTTTTTTCATTGATTGAAATTATTTTTAAAGTAATCTAGGTTTTATTAAGAATAGTATCTCATGTATGTATAATCACTAGTGAGTAGGTAAATATCAGTTTGGGCAATAATATAGAAACCTTTTAGGAAATGGATAAAATTAAATATTATACATTGTTTATATATTTAAAATTATCTTTATAGTTAAAATATAGCAGGTTTATTAAACTTTTCAATTTTTTAAATTTAATGCTTCCAATGATTGCCAAATTTTACCAAAAATCGAATTATTTCCTACTTAAAAATAATTGTCATTTACTGACATTAAAATTGTTCAATATAATAAATAATTAAAACTAAAATGTGCTTTAAAACCTGATTAGTATCTGATTGGTAAAAAGCTTAATATTCTCCAAAATCTGAACACTTTTATGAAATTTTATTGTATGTTATTTACCACTAAAAATACAAGATTTTTAACAGTGAATTGTGTAACTCTCTAAAACTAAATTTTGGGGAAAATTATTATCAAAATATAAATTTTAATTTAAAATGCCCCTAACACTAGAAATTTTGAAAATGCTTAGACATTTAATTACTAATTTATTTAGATATTAGCAATTTGGTTTTGCAATTTTTTTTGAGTTTAAAAAATACATCACAGAATTTTCTTTTGGTCAGGTGCTCTAGTTATAGTGGATATTTTAGTAAACCATATGTTATAACTTGTGATTTAAATATAAGAGCTTTGTTAAGATGATAACATCTAAACCACACACACATTATTACTAATTGTTGAAATTGAACCTATCATGTCCTCTCCCTTTGCTGAACTATATTGATTTATTAATGCACAAGGGGGTCTTAAATTGGACATCAGTACAACTTCAAATATAATATCAGTAATCATTATATAGCCCCACCTAACCTATAAACATAGTAACTAACCATTCATAAAAGAGGTAAGGTGAATTACTGTTGCCTCTAGAACTTCTATTTTTTTCATTTAAATACTATCCTAAGCCTAACAATTACATCCTAAATCTCATCATCCAACCTTTTCTCTTCTTTCCTCCAGGTAGTTGGGATGCGGCCATCCTTGAAGACCTAGAAAGATTCAGGAAGTATACTTCTCTCAATGCAATGAAGATATTGTGCATTCATTTATATGTACAAAAGAAAAATGAAAGTCAAAGCTGAACGTAAAATGGACATAATTTTAATGATTTTTTTAAATTTTGTGCATTGGATTCAAACAGCAAACTGTGTGCACTCAACTGTTATCACAATGTTGTCAAGAAGTCTGTGTCTTTTACCATTTTACACACAATTGTTCATTACAATATGTTATCAGCCTCATGGAAACCAGGGGTGTGGCTTGGTAAGCAGTGGTGGTAGTGCACCTAACTTTTATATTATCTAACTTGAAAATATTTCTCTTCTATGATTCCTTTTTTCTTGATAAAAATAGTTTTCACCAAACGTTGGTGGTGCACACGCACTACCATTCATGCTTGACATCACACCCCTGACAGGAACACGTGTTCTTATTTTGTTGATAAAAAGTATTACAAAAATTTCCATACAAAAACTATTTTCATAGAAATCTTGCATTTCCACAAATAAACCTGAACATTTTTTGGAAAAAAAACTGCTCAAGAATTTTGTTCATTTAACACTGTGACTGTATTGATAAATGCAGTCCACTTCAAAGTTCTCCGCACATACATTTCTACAGATGACCAGTCCCCTTTTTCCTTTCACCGAGGTCTGCCCAGGCTCCATCAAGTTCATTTATAGCAGAAACTAGGGTTTGGATGAAATATCTGAATGTTAAAATGGAAGCTTCATTTTCCACATAACTATCAATACCCAGCCCTCTTTTATAACGTAAGACAAAGATTGCAAAATATTATTCTTTTCAATTCAGAATCTCTGAACCAACTGTTGCTTTTTATTCTTGGTGTGAAGTTGGGTGGGGTGGGGATAGGTAGATAGATAGGGATCCGGTAGAGTTACATGTTAAATCACCTGCAGGTGACTTTAAGGAAAAAACATTATTGCCTTGGTAATTGACATTTCTATCTCAATCAGTGACACAGACTGTTAAAAAAGAAAGAAAAACACTGATGAAGATATGTTTTATATTCCACTTGCCATGAAATTCAGATTTGTTTTGTGTTACATTTTTTTCACACATCCTATAAACACATATTGTCTATTCAGATGATCATTGTACTGAGTTGTTGGGGTCTAATAACATCACCACCTCTATTATCTGAATGTTCAGAAGACCATACTGTTTCTTGTAATGCTACAGGTTGTTGTTGTGTTTTTTTTTTTTCTCTGATTCCAAGTACTTTTATTGACAGTTTTACTGGTTACCTTTGGGGCATTGACATTCCATCTCCTGGCAACAGTTGGGCTTCAAAAAGAACCTGTAATTTCCTACTGGACTGCATTTGGAACCAGTCACAAAATGCGCGTGTAACATTCACTCAGAAGAAGGGAGGAACCCATGATAAACAGTATAACCCCGTGTAACTTGGTTGGTCCATGATGCTTGTAAATCAAGTCTGATCATTGCAACTGCTTAAATCACAGAGTCTCTAGTTCATAGACACAGCGGCATGAGGTAACTCATTTTTATTTTGCACAGGTTGCATATTTCCACAGGAAACATTCTCGCTAAATTGTTTGGAAAAAAGACGACAGTTTGTGCTTGGGTGTTTGGCCTCCCAGCTTTATGCCATGGTTTCTTTACCTGGCAACCTTCTGTCGTTAAATGTGTGCATGTTGATGACTTCTTCTGTTTTCACAATAACGGGGGCCTGTGGCTTGTGTTTTAACCGTCGCTGGCACTTCAGGGACATCCTCAGCTCTTCTACCATGGCGCTACAGAAGGACCTCTACAGAACAACACAGAAAATGAAATATTACCAAACCGATAAACTGTCACTGTCCAGAGACAAACTAAAATAATTCTCAACAGACTTTCAACATAACCAGCCTTGAAGGTTTGAAATAGTTCAATATAAAGGTTAGAACAATTGTCACACTTTTAATAGACAACACATGATAATTAATAATATTTTATAAAAGTGGACTAGTTTAAAGAAAATCTCCACCTGATAGTGAAAGGAACTACCAACTGGAATGCATATAAAGCAGATGTAAAGCTTTATAGATGTAAAATTAATTAGGATCAAAATATATCTATATAGACATATCTATATAGATATATATATATATCCACCTTAAAATTTAAATATAAATACATATACACAAATTAATAACCAGGAATCCATTCTTGATATTTAAAAATAGAAGAAATGTACTACTTTTTAGATCACAACATGAGATAATGAAAATTTTCTTTAAACATAGATTTTTCATTGTGCATTTCAAAACAGAACAAAAATATAACACTGACAAAGACATAAAAATATGGAAAATAACTTCTGGTAGTCATTATACATTTTTGGGATTAGGCCTATAAAACTATTGATGATGATTACGAACAAATATATGAAATAACAAATTGTAGCACATTAAAAATCCATGAAAATATATTAACTTTTTTTGTCATCATCAGCTTGATAACTGAGAGTTGATAATTTATCCCATGCAGAAAAAAGTGACCCTATAATATTTTTAAATTCTCATCCCATTAGCAATAGATTTGCTATAAAAATAGTATATATGGGGCTCATTATTACAAGCTCCTCAAAATTCCTATTACAAACTCATATCTGTGCAACAAAATTTTATTAGTCTCCCTCCCGATCTAATTGAGATACACATGTTAGCTACATATAAGTAAGATTCATAAACCAGTTATATATTGTAGTTGAAATTCAGATGGGCTGAGACTGAGGTTCTTTCTGTGTGAAAACTAAAAATGTGGAAAACAATAAAAAATGTGAACAAGTATGAAAAATTAACATAATTCCAGAAAGTGATATGAAAACAAAACGAAACAAGCCTAATCAAATATGCATATGATGACTTGTTTGTTTGTTTGTTTTTTACTTGTTTTTTTTCTTTGCTCTTTATCAACTTAGGCTAATTCCAAAAGAATAGAGAGAATAAAAATATTTAATACTACATATGTTTCTTAGGTTTAACATATTTTGCACACATAATCTTTTGTGACAAACCTACGTTTTAATTAAAGTAGGCCTCTATCTAACAGAGAAAATTGATTCAGAGAGAGGAAAGTCACTTTCTGCAGCTTACAATGGAGACTCCAGCAAGGTATCCTGATAACCAATTTTGTAACTTTTGATTCTGGTACCTTCTTGTCCATTCCTGTCTATATCCTCACTTTTCTTTTATGGGTTCCTGACTAGCTTCCTTAGTAGTCTTCCCAGCTCTTTAGCCGATTCCTTCCCCAAAGGCTCAAAATTACTAGAATAATCTATTTTTCAAACATCAGTTATTAATAGCATCTTCTCGTCCAAGGAACAGGTAGAATCCAAAGATCCTATTTTTAGCATCATGAAGTCTATGATTCAGCTTTCCTTCTTTCTGCTCCTTCCCCCATTTCTTTTTTCTCTATACACAACCTCTCTGCTTGGACTTCCAAAGTTTTTCTCCTTTCCTCTTCTTTGCTCTGGTACCTTGCCATGTTCTTTCATCCTTCACATCCATCCGATTTTATCCTTTACTCAAATTTTCACTTATCAGGGAATCATTTTCCAATTGACCAGGGTCATTATTTTCACTCAATTTAGTTTTGTTCCTTTTTTAATTCATTATAATGTTTTCCCATCTGGCCTCTAAGTCTTCTCTGTATCCCTCTCAATGAATGGTAAAGAGAAGAGAGATCAACTTCTTATGGTACTGATTGTACACACATGTTCTTTAAACATTGACTGAATTAAGAATAGCTACATATGATCCTAATACTTTCTTATTTAACTGTTTTTAATTAAATTGCTTAAAAAATTTTTTTAGAAGCTTAGTGAAATGTAATGTACATAAGCTATTTAATCAGGTGAAATTTTGGTATTTGTTTAATAACATTAAATAGTAAAAGTATCAATTTATTAGTACTCACAATGGATGATGTTGCTAAACATGAATTCCCCACTAACTAATAGAGTTACTGCCATGCTCTTTTATCAAGTTAAATTATGCACTTCTGAAATCCATAAATTATATTTCTATTAAAAGATTTAGGGCATCTGACAGCCATTATATGGACATAGTGTTTCTTGTTGCTTTATACCTACTATTAGATGTACTTATTAAGAACATGATGACAATGATGATGAAGATGGTGATGATGACAACACTGTAGAAATGGAAAAATCTGACTCCAAAAGGGGAAGGAATACAAAGTCTTGAGGTAACTTAATCTTGGTTCTCTGTTGAAACATTTAACAGAAGAATTGATTAGATAATATAACAAGGTCAGAACTTTATGCCAATGACACTTAAAAATACTATAGGATGTGAATAACTTTGAATTGTTTAAAATAAGGCTTCATTTGAAAGTAATAAATGTCCTGAATGTTACATAATTGACAACACCCTCTTCTTGGCAAACTTGGCTTTTAGGCGGTTTGATTACATTAGTTTCAAAAATATAGAGAGTAGATATATTAATTAATTTTTGTCCATACAAAGAGAGTGATCTCAACAATTTATTTTCTTAGGAAAAAAACCTTATAAATGTAAACACTCATTCAACCATGGAATTTCACATATTTTTCTAGTAAGTTAAGAAATAAAATGTATTAGCACCCTATATGTAATGTCAGACCACAAATAAAGACATAAAGTTATTTAAAATAAATTTTATGTAATATAGAATTTATGATGTTAAATAATATAAAATGTAGGTAAAGAGCCTGGCCCCAAAGTTAGAACCTTTTATCTTTTATAATTTAAAAGATAAAAGAAAATTTCATCATTTATCATTTAAAATTACCTTAAGTAAATTATAGTTACAAATTTAGAAACTCTGAAAATTGTAAATTTGTAACTTGACCATGACTATTTTTAGGCTTTACCTATTTACAAAGTCATCAGAAAGTAAAAATTTTAATCAATCAATCAATAGACTTGATTATATGTTATTTTACCAGTTTTATGAATTTTTCTGTTAATCAACTGAATTTTGCCAGCACTTTTTAAAATGTATTAATGTAACTATATGTAAAAATAGTTTTATTTTAGGTTACTAATAAAGTCACGTGATACAATAGGTGTTCTTCTCACTGATAGACTATTTCTAATCCTTCACAAAAACTATAAAAACCTTTACATTTAAGCAAGAGTTTGGAATCAATATAGTGAATTAAATAATATCATAAAGTACTGTTTACTTGTGGAACTAGGGCAAACACATATTATCTTTTTTTTTTAAAGCTTTAGAATAAAAATTCCATATCTTGATTTATATAAAAATCTAAAGTTGAGATTGTAGAGATGATTGTGACATATATTTATTTCCTTGTGCTGTATGTTCAAAAAAATATTATTTCTGATTTTTAGAGTTCTAATGTCATTTAATAGAGACAAATTGTCTTTCCTACTTCATATAATAATTGGAACTTTTAAATGTATTTTTATTAAACTATGAAATAGGTTTTAAAAAACCCACGAGCACTTGGGTTATAGTAAACAAGAAGGAAGAAGGAGAAAAGGAGAAAAACAGAATCAGAGGAAGCAGGAGAAAGGGAAGAAGAAAGCATAAGGCGGGTGGAGAGGATGAGAAAGAAAACTATTTTGCTTTTCAAATCACTTCTTAGGGATGGAAACACATAAATTGTGTCATTAAATAAGTAACATTCTTAGGGTGAAAACAACAACAAAAATGTTTCTCCACATTAATATAACAGACTACAAAAAGAAAAAAGAAAGGCACAAGGATACTAACCATTATTAAAAACCTCTTTTAGTAAGTTTCAAAATTTACTAAACAGTGTCTGGATGGTAGGGTGGCACTAACCAAATAGAAGATTCCTGAAAATGAAAATTTACATCTTTGAGCTGTTAGCAGGTAATCGCAATTAAATTAGTAAAAGTCATTATAAAATTCATTGTAATTAATGAGGCAACCTGTATTTACACATCTCTCGTTCTTAAAACAACGAAGGTTTGGAAACCTTAAAAGTTTTGATTTGACTATATTTGCATTTCTTGTTTTGAAAGCTATCTAGTTTTATTTTGAGTATAATAAGACAACAAATAGTCTGCAGATAACTGTTCTAAATAATGTCATTATTGGTGTTATAGAATAATTTATTCTTAATAACTATATAATTTATAGATATGCTTATATGATAACAGATGTGACAGCACTTAGAGAAGCACATTATTGTTTAAATATTAGAAATGCAATTGTAAATATGCCCCACACTGAACACTAACCTAAACTACATTTTTAAGCTAAGATCTTTATATTTAGGAATGTCTTTTTGAAAAACAGCCACTGATGGAAAGCAACCAGTTTGATTTTTTAAACTTAAATTCATCACTTTCATGTTGAATATATGTAGTCACTAATCACCCAAATTAGAAATAACCATAAAATATTATAAACTACTATCAAGTCTATATTTATATTTTTAAGACAGAAACTCTATTATATGTACTACTATTCTGTATTTTGATAGTTTAAAATTAACCTCATGGTATTTTAATTTAGAAAAACATTACCCATTTTTGCATACAGTTCCTATTTAAAGCTCTATCAAGGCATCTTCAAGCTGCTTCTTTTAGACTGTGCAGCTCAGTGTTTGAATATAAACTAGCATATATCAACCAAACTGGTTTTGTCTTTGTTGTTTAAATTATATGTTAATGACCAGTCAGCTTGGCTCAGTGGTTGAGCGTTGACCTATGGACCAGGAGGTCACTGTTCAATTCCAGGTCAGGGCATGTGCCAGGGTTGCCA